ATCGTAGCCACACGTCCCTCATTAGTTGGCACTAATTATTTTATCGCACGAAATACACATTGTCGCGGAAATTCGCCGCAATCTCGGGAGAGATTGAGAGAGCGCCGGGTTAATTGGACTCGCGATCTGACAAACTTAATAATCGTCTGGAAAGTGAAAACGACATATCAGCGCGCAGCCCGTTATTCTCTATAAACACTTAATTTCACGCCGAGATATTGCGTGTGTGTATGTATATATGTATGTATATATGTATGTATATATGTATATATATACATATATATACATATATATGTATATATATATATACATATATATACATATATATATATACATATATTTATACATATATATATATATATATATATATATATATATATATATATATATATACGGACAATTGCATTAAGACAGAGACTTTAATTAAATTTTAACTTGAACTTCAAGCAAAGATCGAAAGTTAACGTACTGTTGCTGCGTTGCTTATAGTTTATATCGCAATTCTGTAACTGCATTATTAAGCAAAATGTATTCTTTATTACAACGGATTGAACATAATGCAACTGTAATTTAAAGGAAGAAACGGCAACAGTAGTAGAAACTTCATTTTGCTTACGATATGCCTGCCCGCTCTTGCAACTTTGTATTCCGAAATTATAATTCCGGGCTGTATGACATATCATATGAAACTCTTACTTTATAGAACGATAGAGTTAATAACACGATTTGCAGATCTGTAATATTCGCTGTCTTAGAAGGAAATTCATCTTCATCCTTGCAAAATGCGATTATCCTCCAAAGATACGCACAGCGCTCCGTAAATATAGTCGATGTTATCTTTCTGAATCGCAACTGTCGCCGTTTCCTTTCACGGCAATATTCTCATTATGCGAAATTCGTTACGGCTCCGTGGCATCGGACGTGACTACCTTGTCGCGATGAGTTTAATTGTTCGAGCTCTTACTTACGCCAGGCTTCAAATTAACACTAACGCAGGCGAATCGATGAAACTCGGATAACTGCGAGCGTGAATTTATTCAGCACGAAACATGATTGCGGCGCACACGTGAGCTAAGATAAAGTACCAGTTCCGGCACACGTACCTAATCCTGGACATTTTTATTGTTTTAATCTTTAACTAAATTCTCAATATATAATATATATTTAAACTCTCAATATATAAAATATATGCTTCTTATACTGAACTTTCTCTTATCGAAAGATAATTAGAAGTGCCTCTAAATGTGACTCATAAGCATCCTGGCTTATAAGTATATTTAGAAGCACTTTTATTAATAAAAAAAGGGTTTAGAATAAAAATCTATTATATATATTGAATAATTGAATATATTAGATATATATTGTGAATAAAAAATAAAATATAACTTATGTATTGAATATAGTATAGGATAAGAAATATTTAGGATAAGAGATAAAAAGGTAAAAGGAAAGGAGTAGGATAAGAAATAACTAGGATAAGAGGCGAAAAAGAAAAGAAAGAAGTGAATGTAGGAAAAATGTAAAAATAAGGTTAAGGTAAAAACTAAGAACTTCCTGGCATTATAAGCTAAAGTAAAAATAAAGAGATGTTGAATATATAATATATTAATATATTCTTATTAATATATTCTTATTAATATATTCTTATTAATATATACTTATTAATATATTCTTATTAATATATTGAATATATTAATAAGAATATATTAATAAGAATATTCAAGATTAGATTCATGTTCGCGTATTGATATTTTTTTTTTTCCCTATACTTTTCCAAATGACGCGTTTTCCATTTTTGCTTCTTTTTAAGATATTATTTTACTAAATTAAACTGTTACGTGTATGATGTTACGCAAAAATACGGGGAGCGACGGAATATCACTCGATTGCCATTTATCGTGCGGTTGCGACAACTCATAATTTCGCATAACGCAACTCAGTTCAGTCTGCATATAGAATTTTCACTCTTTCGAGCCGAAACACGAAGTGTCCTAATGACTAATTATTAGTTTGGAACTCGTAATTTTTCAGCTCGGCCAGTCACTTGATGGTTCATTCTCGTAACCACTCCTTTATTTGCTCATTTTAATTGGCTGGCGCGAACTTCTGGCGAAATTCAAGAACGCCGCGCCGTTCCCAGCAACGAAATAAAGTCAACCACCGATACTTTAATTAAACGGACCAATTTGCATGGCCCGACCTGATACGTTATCGGTACGTACGAAAGAATGGCCCTTCCCAAATCCACACTTAACCCGCTACGTCATGCGTTCAAGAACTCACCGCTGCGAGAATTGCTGTCGGAATTCCACGCTTAAGCGAATAGTTTGCTGGGAATTATTTACGTGCACATTGTTGTAGAAATTCTACGTTATTATTATGACCTCGAAAACGAAAAATGAAAACGAGTGAGAGGAGGAGGATTATTTTTCAGCGTTGCTTTGAGACGCGAGCTAATTAAAAAGTGAACAAAACTTCGCAGACGCAAATTATATAGATCGGATTTTTTTTATTAACTTATTTGGAGAAAAATAGGATAACTTGTTAACGTGATACGGTATTCTTTTAATTTTACAACATTTGAATTGTAACACATGGATACAAAAGATACGGTAACGATATATCCCGTGTTGAATTTTATGCGAAAGACAACACATAAACGCAAAAAATACGGTAACGAAATATCCCGTGTTGAATTTTATGCGAAAGACAACAATGTTTCTTCTCATGTCCAATCGATTAATCGCGTGTGTAAGCGTCATGAGAATTATATCAGCACGGTAATGTTTCACTTGAAAAGAGATAATCAAGTAAAGCGAATCGTTATGTTTACACGAAGAACCTCCGACGAGCCGGAAACCATCGGCTGTTACAAAAGCACAAAGTGCAGTGAATGGGGATGAGTGTAAGAGATAAAAGGATATTCCGGGAAAGAACTTCACGCAGGGGGCAGCGAGAAACTCAATTTCGGAGATTAGTTCCCCACGGAATCGCATTCCTTAATGTAAAACAGCTTCTAAGGAATTACACATCAAACAAACACAAACGCGGAAAAACCGAGAAATCGGGCAAAAGGCGAGTTCTTTCTGCAATACTAAACGCGAAATAGGATCGTTTTGTGACACAACGACAATGTGCGACAACTCAATTCCAACAGTTGCCTTGTGTCGGTATTGTACGAAGTATAAATACCGAAATTCCACTATTCTCACGACACAACTTACTATGATTACAGTTTGACGTCAAACGGACGAAACTTTACGTGACCAACTTTCTGCGGAGCCCGTTAAGAGTAAACAATGCCAGTATTTTTCTATCCACGAATCAATTTCTGAGACGGAAATGCAGAAAAAAGCTGACGTTTTAGAAAATTTTAACTGACTTTGCTTTAGCGGAATTTCAATTTTAATCTCGTTTATCGAAAATGAGACAAACTTACTGAAGATTGGAAAAATTGAAATATCTATAATTGTATTTTTTCTCTAATAGAAAGAAAAAGCGAATGAGCACCTTTGGTACTATCAAGGAACTGATGTTTATAAAACGAATAAACAGTGGACAGACAATTTACACGGCTCTACCATGCCGGTAAATTGGAGCTCATTGATGTAACTATCGCTATTTGTCAACGACGTAGCAGGCTAATTAAATCATACGCGATGAGCTCATACCGGTGATTATCTGGATTAATTCATTAATGCCATGGACGGGGCGGCTAATGTCATCCATAACGATGTAAACACTTACGTGCTGTGCGTGTGACACGTGTACCGCAGTTACGAACCATATCTGCCCCGCGTTTGTTTACCTTATTCCGTGTTAAGCGAAACTAAAATCAATTTGGAGCGTCAGTCCTACAACTAGTCGTTCTAACTTTACGGAAACTTAACGCAAAGTGGAAATTTGAAACGCTGAGAATATTTCTTCATTCTTCATCCGCATGCGCGATTATTTTTATAACTTTCTCTTCCTTCTTTTTCTCCAGAGATACCGCCGGCCATAGAGTTGGCGAAATCTTGCAGAAATTTTCCGCATGGCAAATATATCTTTCAGCGGAGCACCCGATCCGCTATCTATTGCAGAGGTTGGCCAAGTGGTTTATCTTGCCCGACCTATCTCAAAACAATTTCCTTTCGATCTCAATACATTCGTATTCTCGAGTCTGCGAGTTCGACTAAGCAGCTCCCTCCAAAATAAATATCACGTAAAATTCCAAATACGTCTGGCCGGTATCTAGAAACGTATATTTCTAGTACTTTCACGGCGATCTACAATACTTCTCCCCGGTCAGTCCCGACGATGCATCAGTGTACACTTGATAGCAACGAAAGGAGCTCCATTCGTATTCCTCGATTCCTTTTAACGAAAAGGACAAAATACGTCGCTACTTCCCAAGAGAGATTCTCTGCCGATCACGCACAAACGCGAAAGACATCCCCGTAGCTTCGCGCTCGTGTGCGCTGTAAACGAGCTCGCTCGACTCGCGAATTACAGAAAAGTAGCTTCGGAGCTCATAAAGGTCACATTGTGCGCTCACATTCTGATACGAGAGACGCAGTAACGTAAATGGGAATTAAGAAAGAATCTTGGCCGATCGAGCGTGCAGATAAGTAGTCGATCGGGGACCAGAGAGCGTCGGGGAAAGCGTGGAAAACGTAAGGCACGATGGGCGTAAGTACGAAGTCGGCCGAGCGGTAGGATTTGTTATAAGCTCCCGACAGAGAAGAGGTAATCTGACCGTCGTCGTCGGTTTATAAAGGACCATGCTGTGCCTCTCTCTCCCCTTTCTCTCCTTTTTCTCTCTCCTCTTCCCTCTTCTCTCCCCCCTCTTGCTTTCTTTCTCTCTTTCTCTCTCTCTCTCTCTCTCTCTCTCTCTCTCTCTCTCTCTCTCTCTCTCTCTCTCTCTC